ACACGGTGCTGCCTGGAACTAGGCACCCAGAACCTACAGAGGCCAGAGTCACTTCAATTCTACCTGTTGTTTGTTTTAGCATAAATGTCTACCTCAGTCACCTCCCGCCTGCCTGCCATGACCCTGCCTTGGACAGCAACAGGCTAAGAGGTTTTGGTTTCTTTTTCCAATAGTGAAAGACAGCCAATCCCTGCCCAGGCTCTGTAATTTTTGAATACAACCCATTTGGGAACACAACTTTATCCTGGTAGGAAGGGCTGCTCACCTCTCTTTCTGCTTGGCACTCTTGGGCAGTGTCTGTAGATTGAACTGTACCATGTTCCGGCGGTCTTTGTCTCTGCGGAGGTTCCGCTGGGGAGCAGGAAGAGACCCATATTAACCTCTTAGAGTCATAGCTTATTAATATCTTGAGAGCAAGTTTGGTGTGTGAAGTCCCATGTTCCACGTCTCTATAACATCTACAGTATTTGCATTAGCTTGAACTCATTTCCAGCAATGTGGGTTTACTTGTTTTCCTACAGTTGCTAAGTTTGCATCTTTATGTAGCACCCAACCAAACCATCTAATTAACAAAGCCTGCATGCTGCAATTAAGCAAGGAAATAGGTTCCCAGCATGGCTGTGTGATGTCTGACCCACTGTAAGCAGAAATCTAAATTCCTTCAACATATCCTTGGACAACTCATCCTGATACAATTGGTCACTATACTGCCACTTGGGCTAGGCCAGAGGCCTGCAAGCCTTTCCTGTCTCATTGGTATTCCCAAGATAAGGTTGCTGAACAGCAGAAATTCTCACAGTAGGAGATCCAAGGTGCTCAGGCCTGTGGCCTACCTGTGCGAATCGCATCCGGTTCCGTTGGTAGGCAGTCTTCTGTGTGCGTGCCGTGTCCACCAGCTGGAAGCTTGTCTCGTCCTCCTCATGGAAATATGCATACTGACTCCCCCCACCAAACTGAGAGGAGTACTTGTCTGCAGGTAAAGGTGACAGCGTGTGCTTAGTGCTCCCTACAGACCGCTCATGTGCATGACAGTCCTGAGCCTGCTCTCAGAAGTGTGGTTTTGGGACCCGTAGCACTGGTCAGGCGCTTGTGAGGTGTGCAGACTCACGGGCCCTGCCCAGACCTGACAGATGAGAACCTGTATTTAAATACAATCCCAGGTGATTCATACACACATTTAAGTTTTAAGAGCTTGAGTCTAAAGAAGTTACCAAGAGAGCCCAAGATCTCAAGCTGACCCAGTTCACCTCTGCCTGGTCATGTAAGACTCTGAGCTGCACCATTTCCATCACCCAGAGCCATGGACACTGCCATCGACCATGATATATTTTCTTTCTGACCTCATCCACCTTAACTTAGTATTCCAGGCTGCCACTCCCAACCATCTAACTGGCCCCATGAAAAGCTCGTTCCTTTACCAAAACCTTAAAATCAGGGCCCAAAACCTAGAGTCCACTGAATGATTGCTTCAGGAAGTCCCAAGCAATAGAATGCAAATGGCAGGGCTGGAGAGATGGCTCAGTGGTTAAGAGCATTGCCTGCTCTTCCAAAGGTCCTGAGTTCAATTCCCAGCAACCACATGGTGGCTCACAACCATCTGTAATGAGGTCTGGTGCCCTCTTCTGGCCTGCAGACATACACGCAGACAGAATATGTATACATAATAAATAAATTAAAAAAAAAAAAAGAATGCAAATGGCAGCACACTTAACATATTTTTAGAGGAGTCTGGTTTGTCACCCCACAATAATTTTAACAATTTACTTTCAGGGACTATTTCCAAAACCATGGTTAATGCACACACTCCAGAATATATCCCCAATAACTACCATCACCATTAGCATTTCTGTGCCTTTCTAAAAAGCTTTCGTGTGCAGCTTACTGAACAAAGCAACAATCTTCCCAAGGCCTAGATGTGGGTAGCCCACTGAGGAACACTTACTTGTGTACCTCTTGTCCTGGTATGTGGCCCCTGTCCAGTCGGCAACCTGTGCAATAAAAGAAAAGGAAGAGAACAGGTCAGGTGAGCAGGCTTCTGCTGAGCCACAGACCCCAGATAGTAAGGGAGACTGAGGGAAAAAGGCATCAGCACTGCCTCAGACTCACTCTGGAGTCGAGGCCTTCCTTAGCCAGTGTCCCCAAAGGAAGCACAGCCACAAAGAGAGTAAAAAGGAAATGGGAGCTCTGGAGCAGCTGTCCCAGCTGAAGGGACCCAATACCTTCCCCAGCCGATCTCCTTTGCTGAAGGGCTGATAGGGCATATCCCGAAACTGCTCAGGAACGGCACAGGGACCCCAGCCTGAGGGGTTGTCCTGGATCACAGGAGTCATGAATTTCGCCATCTTCTAAAACCTTAAAAAACAAGCACCGTGAGCAGCTTTACGAAGAAAGGCCACCAAGTCCCAAACATCCTACCTGCCACTGGAGCTGCGTCACAGAGGTACACATGAAGCAGAGTCCTGGGCTCTGGAGCAGCAGGGACAGGGTTTTCTTGTAAACTGACCTAAGAACACTTAAAACTCAGAACATTCCCGACACCAGTGACATTTCATGTCGCATTAATTCCTGGACATGCTCTTTTTTGGCGAATATCATTGAAATGACGCCGAGCCTTATACTCGATGGGATGTCACATCTTTTTTCTCAGTATAACATAAGATATAGGTGTCTTAGATTCATGACATATGGTAAAAGTTCCCTCAAACACCTTCACCGAAGCACTCAACTTCTCTTAAGTCCAGGCTCTAAAGTAAAGGGCAGTCTGTATCATAGGACCATTGCCATTGTATTAGTGACCATGCCACACAGTTACTAGTCAGACACACAAATACACTGACCAGCAGAGAAGGTAAAGGTGGAGCCAAAGAGGAAGGAGAGAGCTGACTCCTCCCAAATGTGCTCCTCTGAATGCCAAGGTATGCATGTGCCTGCACACACACACACACACACACACATACACACACACTCTCTCACTCTCTCTCTCACACACACACAGCAACAAAATTAAAAAAAAAAAAAAAAGGACTAAAACCACCGAATCTCGAGCCCCTTGAGTAGACCCGGAATTTGACTTTCCTTTCTGTTTCTTCCCATTTTCCACCAGCACAAACCCTGTACCATGTGTGCAGACAGTCAGGAGCAGTGCTAGGTGATGGAGTTCACCATAAACTTCAGAGCAAAACCAGCAGGGCAAGGGCCGGTGGGATGAATGCAAAATTTGCCAAGGGTCAATTGCAAACACGAGTACCAGGGCACCATTCTCGCTTCTTACAGCACGCAAGCTCATTAAACCCTTCTAACCACCCCGTGGGGCCAAGCCAGCTCTGTCCCCACTTTCTGGGTAAAGATAGAAAGGTACAGTGAAATAAACGCTGTAATGCTGGATGATTCAAAATTGGAACCCAGGCAGTGTAGCTTTGGAATCTCAGTCTGTAGAATGCAACAGGTCATTTTAGAAAAGTAAAAACCAATAGCTATATAATTCAGGGGTTTTCTGGACACTTCCCACCAAAAACCAAACCAAACCAAACAAACCATACATGGATCACCCACAAGAACTGTCTGACATAGCCAGGCAGTGGTGGTGCACGCCTTTAACCCTAGCACTCGGGAGGCAGAGGCAGGCGGACCTCTGTGAGTTCCAGGCCAGCCTAGTTTACAGAGTGAGTTCCAGGACAGCCAGGGCTACACAGAGAAACCCTGTCTTGGGGGAGGAAAGAAAAAGAACTGTAACAATGTCCAGAGAGGTTAGTAATCTCTTCCCCTTGCTCTGCTTCAGGGAAGCTCAAGATATTTAGGTGACAGCAACAAGGAATAAACTCGGGGGTGTCATTCCCATATGTGAACTTATGCTAAGCTGTAGGAAGAGGACATGGGGAAGGGGGGCGGCTTTCTAACTGTTCACATGAAATAAGAGCCCCCAGCATGTGTCGGTTCTGTGCTCCCTCATACCGCCACTTGGAGAAACACAGATGGCTCTTACTTAAGTAGTCCATCTTCCCGTCATCTCTAAACAGTTTCCAGGGCTGTCTGCCTCAGCCCGGCCCTCTTTAGGCTATGCTGTCGTCAGGTGACAGCCTGACAGTCGGATGCTCTAAGCCATACCCACAATACTGTCTCAAAAGCAACTGGAAGTTTTAGTTGTCACAAGTTCAAGGCTTGACATGCATCGTCTCCCTGGACGGGCAGGGACTTGGAGTCCTCTGGCTTCTGCACATGTGAACCACAAAGTAATTGGAACGGGAAAACTGGAACGAGGTAACAGCTGTATTGGCCACAGCACGGTGCGGATCACCGTGGACATTACAGACGGAGCCATGAGCTAACTCCAGGTTCCGTTTCAGACCGGGTTGTGAGCCTACTCCTCTCAGTCGTCCATGTCGGAGCAGAAAAAAAAATCGTTTAACTCCCCACGGCTCTGGGCCGATCACCGGCTGAGGGAGCCCACACCGCGTCCGCTGTCCTACACTAACGGGGTCGCGTCCGGGACCACCCCAGACCGGTTCCCGCCCCGCCCAGCGGAGGGGCAGCGACGGCAGGAGAGGTCGTAAAGGCAGGCTCTTCCGGGAGGCCCCCCAGAGCCTGGCCTAGGCCAGGCTGGCCCGCGAGGTCCGCGGAGCTCTACGAAACAAGGCGCTCACCTGCAATGGGCTCTGCGGGCCCGGATGGCGACAGATGGCACGGGAAGAGACTCCGAGATCCTCGGGACTCGGAGGAACCAAGACAGGAGGCCAGTGGCGCGCGCAGGGGCCGGCGCCGTAAAGCGCGACCAGTGCGGTCGTAAACGGCTCCACCACTTCCTTCTTAGCGGAAAAACGTCGAGCCGTAAAGCGAAGACCCAACCGGAAGTGTGTCACGGTTCTTCGCTTAATTTCCTTGTCATCCTCTGAGATGCCCGACACGGAGTGCGGGTGATTACGTCAGCGGCATCTGGGGACGCCCAGAACGACTCAGAACTGAAACGTGGCCGCGCGCCGTGCGAGAGGAAGCTGGGGCAGGGAGCCGGAGTCAGCCCCGCGGTGTCCCACAATGCTTCGCGGAGTCTCGCCCTTTTGCCTCCCACAATACCTCGCGGCTCCCGCCGGCTCCGGTCTGGTTGTTGGTCGGGTTGGACTTGACCAGGAGGGCGGCCCAGCGCGTTATCTGTGCTGTTTTCCTGTGGCACCAACCCCGGGTGAGGGGCGGCAAGTGACCGGCGTGGTCCAGGCTCCCAGAATTTCTGGGTGGCCGCCAGAGCTCAGACCTCCGTTGCACAGATCTCAAACCTCATTATTCAACGGAGATTTCTGGTTGCTAATTAAAAGTAAAACAAAAGCAGGTTTAGGTTTTCCCACTTCCGTAAATTGATATTCGAGCCGGGACTATCCAAACTGCAGCCCAGGAGTCTGCGTTTTAATTGATAATTACGATTCAGAGGGCGCGACTCAGTGCGTCCTCTTGGCTTCTGCCCTGTGCAGCTGTAGAGTGCTAGGCAATTACGAAACCTGAACAGAGACACAAAGGATGAGCTTTTAGTTAAAGCCGGTCCGTCTGCCTAGCTGTCCAGGTTTCCTTTTAGCTTCCCAGCAGATCTCCTTTATTAGAGACCACATCTGTTCTTAGACACATGTGTCCAGGTTCATCCATGTCTGGCTGTACAGTCTTCGCATCTTAGGGCCTGTTTTCCTTTTATGTAAACTGAAAATGGTAGCTAATAAGACAAAATAAATAGTTGTCTGAAGTCCGTTCCACTTTCTAGTCATACCGTGGACGCTACTTGGATGAACTGGGTCAGGTGATTTGTCCTCTAAATGTGCTGAAAATGAGCATGTTGGGGAGGGGACCCATTTCCTTAAATTACCAATGAGTTTCTCTTCCAGTTTTCCCAATTTTTTATTCCCGGGATTTGGTGAATCCTGCTGGGTCCTTTTGTTTTCCCACCGTTCGTGACTAGCCTGTCTATTCTAATTTCAGCCACATCTTTTGTGCTAACTCCCCTCATTGTACCATCTCCCCTCATAGCTTGATCTGTTCATTCCCTGCCCGCCAGTGGATTGCTCCTCAACATGGTCAAAGGTTTTCCCACACAGCTAGCACCTTTCTGGGGAAGCATACCATAAAGTAGACTACCTTCCCGTGGCCTGACATTCTGGCTGCCTTCTCACTTGGTTGTCTACTGTTCTGTACCCACTCTGCTCTGGCCACCATGGCCTTCTCTCATTTCCCTCTCAGCAGGTTCTACACTTGCTGTTCTTTCTGCCCTGAAGGGTCACTGTCACTGCCTTGGGCCTGTCCTGTGTCTATGTCTTTAAGAGGTGGTTCCTGGCCAGGAGTGGTAGCATATCCTGGGACCCCTCTACTAAAATGGAGGCAGGAGGATCATGATGCCAGAGAGGAGCTGGTGAAGCTGGAGAGGGTTCTGAGAAAAGGCACTTGCTTTGAAAACTGATGCATCTCACCGACAATAAAACCTTTTGAAAAAATTTGAAACGGGGTCTCACTAAATTCCCTGGGCTGACCTTGAACTCCCTGCACCTGAGAACCTGAGGCAGGATTGTTGCAAATCTGATGCCTGCCTGGACTCTATAGCAAGCCCCCAAATCAATAGAAAATTGATATGTGCCCTAAGATATAAGGAGACATGTATATTCTGGCCCAGATGTTCTGCTCTCCAGATGGAGGATGTGGAGGTTCCTGCCTCCTCAGCTTACCCTGGAGCATGTTCTCTTACAAGTGGCCCTGCCTCCCCCTCCAGACTCTGTGGCTGCAGTTTTGTATCCCTCTTGTGCAGTGGCACTGTTTTACAGTGTGCCCAAGAAGTGCTTTGTAGACCTAAGACCTTTAGAACTGCTTTTAGAGACAGGAAGTAAGACAAAACAAATAAGCCCCCACGTTCTTCGCTGGGGGTGTGGTTCTGTTGGTAGAGAGCTTGCTTGTCATGCTCAAGGCCCTGGGTTCAATCCCCAGTTCTGTGTAAGCCAGGCACGTAGGCACATACCTGTAATCTCAGCATCTGGGGAAGTAGGAGGACCAGATGACTAAGGTCTCAGAAAAAAAAAAAAAAAACAAAAAAAGCCCAAGATCAAGTAATTTTCAGCCTGAAGTTCAAGGCCAAATTGGACTATATGAGACCCAGTCTCAAAATGAAGTTTGCATTTTTTTTTAAGACAGTTTCTCTGTGCTGTCCTGGAACTCACTTTGTAGAACAGGATGGCATCGAACTCAGAGATCTGAGTGCCTCTGAGTGCTGGGAGTAAAGACATGTGTCACCATTACCCTGCCCAAAGTTTACATTCTTGTCAGAAAGTGTGAAGTTGGGAACTGGAGCCTTTTTCTCTAAGGATTTTCACAGTCTCTAGTTTGGAAAGGCACAGAGTCTCCTTGGATAATTGAGTATGGCCCATAATGGCTAAGGATAGCACAGTGATTTATGTGACAAAGTCCCACATTTTCAATTCTCAAGATTACAGTATTTATTTATTTATTTTAGGCAGAGTCTCCATGTATCTCTGGCTAGCCCAGAATTTGCTATGTAGACCAATATAGTCTCCTACTCACAGAGATCCACCTGCCTCAGCCTCCCCAGTGCTGGCTTCAAAGGCGTGTGCCGCCACATCCAGCATTGATTACAGTATTTTAATATAAATTTTACTCATGACCAAAAGAAGTTTAGAGAGGGGCATTAACCCAAGTTCACATGGCTGGCGAGAGACCTCCACCTACTCCATCAGGGTTTCTTCCAGCAACTGAGAGGTGTGTGCTCCATCCCCTTGGGGTGTTCCGCTTGATGTGAGAGGGCGGCTGAGGTAGAAGGAAAGGTGTCTCCTAAGAAGGGACATTTGGGGCTGGTGAGATGGCTCAGCAGTTGGAGCCCTGGCTTGGTTCCTAGTGTCTGCATGGTGGCTCACAACCATCTGTAACACTAGTTCTAGGGATCCAATGCTCTTTCTGGTTTTTGTAGGTACCAGACATGCAAGTGGAGCATGGACACATTTGACCAAGAGCTGAACACAGGCAAGCAAGGTGGGTACCTTCTCTCGACACTCTCATCTCCATGGGTCTTGTCTTTTTGACTTTTGTATTATGTGGTGGTTTGAAAGAAAATGATCCCCAAAGGGAGTGGCGCTATTAAGAGGTGTGGTCTTGTTGGAGAAAATGTGTCGCCGTGGAGGCGGCTTTAAGGTCTCATATATGCTCTCCTATATGTCCCCACAAGTCACATCTGGGAGCAAGAGGCCCCATCCTGTGCCACACTGTTCTGATAAAACATCTGTCTAGATAAGATAAGTGCGTGTTCTAGTGAACCTACAGTCCTTCAGGAGAGATATACCGTTTACTGAGTGCTGCTGTGCCAGGCGAGGTGCTACGTGCTTTCTACAAGTGAGAGTGATGCTTTTTAAATGACAGTTCTATAAGAAGGGCAAGTTTCCTATTAGTGTTAGGGGAAGGAGGCTCTGGGTATTTGGGTAGATGGCTCACAGAGCAGAGGTGGGATTAGATGGCAGTTTTTTTGTTTTGTTTTTTTGAGATAGTGTTTCTCTGTGTAGCCTTGGCTGTCTTGGAACTCACTCTATAGACCAGGCTGGCCTCAAACTCACAGAGATCCGCCTGCCTTTGCCTCCCAAGTGCTGGAATTAAAAGCATGTGCCACCATGCCCATATTAGATGGTAGTTTTATGGACTCTAAGGCTCCCCTACCAGGTGGTTTGGTGGAGGATGCCATCCCTGGGTGGCATTGTTCTCTTGTCTGTGTCTTCTGTCTCTCCCTCTCACATACACACACTTTATTGTGAGTGTCTGCAGCAATTCCAGTGTTTTTCTATGGGCTAGGCTCAGGTACTGCAATTCAAAGGGAAGAGGACTCTGGGTTTATGTGCGAGTGTTCTGTTGGTCATGCATGTGTGGTGGTGAGTGGAAGAAGACCTTTTTTTTATTTTTTGGTTTTTCAAGACAGGGTTTCTCTGTGGCTTTTGGAGCCTGTCCTGGAACTAGTTCTGTAGACCTGGCTGGTCTCGAACTCACAGAGATCCGCCTGCCTCTGCCTCCCGAGTGCTGGGATTAAAGGCGTGCGCCACCATCGCCCGGCTAAGAAGACCTTTTTTTAGAGACTGAGTCAACTCTTATAGTTCAGTGCTGTGAGGTAATGCTCTTGTACACTGTAAAGTTTTGTCACTCATACTGATTTAATAAAACACTGATTGGCCAGTAGCTAGGCAGGAAGTATAAGCATGGTGACCAGACTAGGAGAATTCTGGGAAGAGGAAAGGCAGAGATGCAGTTGTAAGCCAGAGGCAGAGGAAGCAAGATAGGATGCTTTACTGAGAAAAGGTACTAAGCCATGTGGCTAAACATAGAGAAGAATTATGGCTTGATTTAAGTTATAAGAGCTAGTTAGTAATAAGCCTGAGCAACAGGCAAAACAGTTATAACAGCTTCTGTGTGTTTATTTGGGACTGAATGGCTGTGGGACCAGACAGGACCCAAACTTCCATCTACAGTCCAGGCTGGCCTTGAACTTGTAACTTTCTTGCCTCAGACTTCAGAGTCTGGAGGTGACAGATGTGAGCAGTCATGTCTGGCTTTTGCTTTGAAATTTTTATTTAAACTTTATGAGTGCATATTGCTTGCCTAATTGTGTTTTCTATTATGGCATTTCTACACATGCACACAAGCATGCATGGATCATATTCATTCCCATTGCCCTTTCTCATCACCCTCTTCCCTTTTGCCCCCTCCTGCCTCACACCCAGAGTTCAAGGAATCAGAGCTCATTTTTGGAATAGCAGAATGCTGAAAGACATCTGAGGTTGCATGGTGGAGACTGGGTGATACATTTTCCAGCTCTGAAGTTGCCAGTACCTACAGGAGTGATCTATGAGGGAGCCTAGGCTCCCCATGTGGACTCACCACATAGGCAGACCCGAGAACATCAACATTTTGGACTCTGTGTTCAAGGTGTGTCTTGTATTCTATCATTCTGGGTTGTGAGGGGAATGGCTTAGCCTGATGACAAGTGACCATGTAATTTATCACCCAAATTAGAACGTGTTGAGGAGAGAAAGAGATCCCTATGAATAACTGACTTGGAAAAAAGATGTTAGTGGTCAGGTGTGGTATGGAGAGTGCTGTTTTCTGAGTGTCAGAGCAGTTGTGACTCCTTGCAAGGGACCCCTGATATCCTGCCCGTTAACTGTGGAGGAGGAGGTTGGGAGGTCATTGGACCTTCTTCACCTGGGAGTCCAGCTGCTCTCTCTTATACCTGGACAGTAGGTGACTTGGGTGACATGGACTTGGGTGATGCTAGATGATATAGATGCTAGATGGAGTGGGCCCCGTCTGTGCAGCTATAGGGAAGTTGTCCTCCCTGTTGGTGGGGTTGCCACTTTGGGGTTGCCCATGCTTCTGTAAGTAGCCTGATTGCCATGCTCTGTAAGTAAGCCCACTAAACTTAGTGGGTCCTCATGGTGGGGGCTTGATGGTTTATACTCTGTTATTGAGGCATTATAAGAAGATGATGGATCTTTGTGTATGTCTTCCCATGGAAGATATTCTCATGACACGTGGTCACCCTATGCTCTTCTGTGTGTTGTGTGTGAGTGTGTAAACCTGAACCATCTTCCAGAGGCTCATGTCTTGGATGCTTTCTTCAACTGGTGAACCTTTAGGAGGTGGGATCTGATTGGGAGATGTTGGTCACAGAGGGTGGACCTTTGAAGATCATATCCTCCCCTATCTCTGGCTGGCTGCTCTGCCTCCTGGTCTGCCATCATGTGGATAGACACTGACCCACCCTCCTGTCTTCACGTGAGGATGAGGCTGTTCCATCAAACCTCCTAACCAGACCCCAGATAAGCCCTTCTTTTCATTGTTTCTTTGAGGATTTTGGTCACAGAATGGAGACAGTTACACATGCAACATACCATTCCAAAATCTAACCACAAAACAGCAGCAAGCCCATCCTGGTCTTTCAATTCCTGTGGGTTGGGATCTGGGGAAGGCTGACTGGTAGGCTCTGGCCTAGGGTCTCTGGGGTCTGGGGAAGGCTGACTAGTAGGATCTGGCCTGGGGTCTCTGGAGTCTGGGGAAGGCTGACTGGTAGGGTCTGGCTGGGGTCTCTGGTGCTGTGGGTTAGATTTGGGGTAGCTGGCAGATGAGCAGGTAGCTTGTATCTTCTCTAGAGAAATTGTGTATTATGGTTCCTGCTGGTCGTCAATTTGACAGGGTCTAGGATCTCAGGGTGCTCTGGGTGTATCTGTGGGGAGTTACTAGATTGGGGTAACTGAGATGGGAAGACACACTCTACTGTGCATGGCGCCTCCGTTAGGCTGGAGGCCTAGTGTCAATACAAAGGAGAAAGTGAGCTGAATGTCACCATTTATCTCTCAGACTCCTGCCACCATGACCCTCCCCACCCCACGGTGGCCTGTAACCAGGAACTGTGGACCAAACCCAAACCCTTCCTTCCTTAAGTCACCTTTGTTAGGTATTTCATTATAGCAATGAGAAAAGTAACACAGTGTGAATGGAGGTGACCCCCAGTAGCAGGACTATAGGAGGGGACAGTCATGGAGCCAGTGCCATTATCTAGGATGTGGGCTTTGATGGCTCTAGCATCACTGTTTTCTGGGTAGGGCTGTGCCTCTGCAGGGTTTGAGGGCACATGCTGGTCTGTAGACAACCGTTTCCTAGGCTAAGCTAGCACTCTCTGACCCCGCTACCCCAACAGGCTTGTGAGTCTGGGGAACCTCCTAGCACTTCCATGGTTCTTGTCGGGGTGAGTGTCTCGGGTGGCCAACAGATGTTCTGTGTATGTGCCAGCCTTCTATGCTTGTCTCAAATGCAGACAGACACCAGGCTCTACAACAGAGTCACCAACGTGCTGTGGGACTGTTGATGTGGGCAATCCCACTTCCAGTGAGCCACCCCGCATCTCCCCTTCACGTCTTAAAACCACAGGGCCATTTTTCAAAGAACAAACTGAGACTCAGAGAGGACGTCCTTGCTCAAGGCCAGCTAGTCAGAGTCCAGCAGGGACAGGCGCCAGGCATGCTAGGACTGCGGCTGTTACTCCTCTGCAGTGTTTAAGTTCCCAGATTCTGAAGCTCGGCATTCTTTACAAGGCTGGGCAAGCATTTGGCTGCCGCCCTGAGGTGAAGTGAACAGTGGTTAGCATCCTTGTCAAAGCCCAGTGCAAATGTTTATATAGTTTGCTGAAGACAAGACCCAAGGCTTACGGAGTTCTGCATGGTGCTCACTGAGCATTCCCCTGTGGTGTGGTCAGCCCACTGGAAAATGTTTACTCTCCGAAGAACTGAGCCCTCTAGGACTGACTATAAGACTCATTTGGTTAAAATGTTTGCTGCCAAGCCTGATGCCCTGAGTTTGATCCCCAGAATCCACATGGTAGAAGAAGAGATCTGAATCCTGACAAGTTGTCCTCTAACCTCCACATCTATACTGTGCGTGCGCGCGCACACACCCCACCCCCAAGAATGAATTTAAATCTTTAAAGAAAATTGGGCCCCAAGGACTTCAGTTGAGCAACTCTGACCCCTCCTCCTTCAGCACACTTCTGTCCCTCTGAGGCAAAGTTCAGTACACTGTCCTTTCAGATGCTGAAGACTCGGTTGAGGACACAGTGCCCAGGCAGACACTCCAGAGAGCTGCTGTGTTTAGCCTTTCTGTGGGAGGATGCATCCACGCTAGGGGAAGCTTCCAGCTCAACAGCCCACCTCAGTTTCAAGGGGGGGGGGCTCTGAATGCCACAGCAAAACTACCCAAGTAGCCGAGCCGAAAGGGTTCAAGTCTGGGAGCACGCTCCTTGTCCTCAGAAGAAAGGGAGGCCATCGGCTGTTTGCGCCGGTGATGGGTATTGAAAGTTATTTTTTATTTCAGCTGGATGTACACTCACCCATCACAGGACCGTGCTCAGAATAGAGAGACACCTGTTGAGCCATCCTCCCCATTTCCTGCCTTGTGGGCATTTCTCCAAGTGCTGAGCCATCCACTTCTCTGCTATGCCC